TTCAGTGTTTCTACAGTCAGCTGTTCAGTTTGTTTACCACAGATCAGCTGTTCAGTTTGTTTACCACAGATCAGCTGTTCAGTTTGTTTACCACAGATCAGCTGTTCAGTTTGTTTACCACAGATCAGCTGGACTGGTTTCGGGTCAAATGTTGAAAACAATAACAACAAACAGAGAGTCAGAGGTACTTTGTGTTTTCAGTCATCTTTAATCAGGTCGGCTTCAAAGGCTCACCTGCCCCATGATTCCTGTAATTCATGAGATATTTTGCTAACAGACAGAGATGAAGGCAGATTTTTAAACAAATATCTTGTTTCTGTTAGCTGTAGGCTCACAGAGGAGCAGAAAACCTGCATCAATTCTCAAAAACGTTTTAAAACCGTTCCACAGGAAGTTGATTTGTAAATGTTCTCATAAAATTAATGTGAATGAAAATTAGGWTAAATTTAAACAAAAATGCAAACATTTTGTTTTGTTTCAGGAAGAACCTTTGATGTTTTAAACTCCTGTTGATTCCTAAAACTCTTGGTGTTTTCTGACCCTGGTTGGAGCTCAGAGTGTCTGCTGGGAGGACTCTCAGCTACCACCACACCAAGGCTTCAGTGAAACTGACTCATTCTCTGTGGCGGCCATCTTGAATCAGAGTAACGTGATGTTTACCCACTGATGAGCTGAATCAAAACCTCCCCGGAGTGAGAAATTTTACTAACAGACTCTCTGTTTGCTGATAGACGAATAAAATATAAAATTACTAGTTTTATTTTGAAAAACAGATAATAACGTTTTATCTCAGCTTTTTATTTTCTTAATGTTTTCTTCCTGAGCTGCTGAACCCAGACCTGGATCTGTGCTCAGACCTGGATCTGTGCTCAGACCTGGATCTGTTCTCAGACCTGGATCTGTGCTCAGACCTGGATCTGTGCTCAGACCTGGTTCCAGACTCTGGATGTGGATCCAGGTCAGTTTGTTAGAGGGAGAAGACCTACAGGTTTAGCCTCTTTTAGCTTTTAGCTACTGTTAGCTTCTAGCCTTTAGTTACTTGAAGCTTTTTATTTATGGACGATGTTTCATTAGAAACAAGAGGATGAGTTGGAGGTTCAGAGCTTCTGGTTCTGTGGTTCTGGAGCAGATTCGTTGTCTCAGCAGAACCAGAACCCTGTCTGTTCTGACCCGGTCTGYCTCTGCTGTCTGGACTGTAGTCTGTCCACCTAAGACACGAGTGGACGTGTTGTCTGAACGCCTCAGCCGTCCTCAGAGTGGAAACTGGACCTGACAGTCTGAACCCATTCTGTCAGAACCAGCTCCACTGAGACAGAGATGGACTGAGGACAGAAACCTGTTGAACTCAAATCCAGGACCGTGGACAACCAGGAGACAGAGTCCTGGTCAACCTAAAACCCCCTAATGTTGACCCTGATAGATATAAACTGGTGCAGGTTCATGTCCTCTGTCCTCCTGGTCCTGTCCACATGTCCACAGCATGTCTCATTGTGCTGTGGACATGTGGACTGTGTGAATCCTGCTGTTTTTAATCTGAACAGATTATTGGGGCTGATACATGATCCACCTACAGCAGCTGATGGAAATCCTTCCAGACCCTCTGTCCAGACCTGAGACCAGACCCAGACCCAGAACCTCTTTTTGAATATACTTATGAAGTTTTCTCTGTAAATCTGAGGCTGACTTTAGATCCAGTTCTGCTTAAAGAGACTTAAAGACCAAGATTCTTTAGTTCGGACCCGTTCAGCTGAATGACTTCACCCAAGAAGCTGAAACTGACATTTATAAGCTACAAGAAAAAGAACACCAGKTAGCAGCTAAAACATTAGCTAAAGCATTAAAACAAGTGCAAAAATGGTTGCTAGAAACTAAAGGTGCAGAACAGTTAGCTAGGGCTAAAACTAGTCAAAATGTAGCTAAAAGTTCCAAGAGATTAGCTACAAATTTGAAATACGAGGTAAGGTAGAAGCTAAAAGTGGCAAAAGGCTTTCTTAAAGCTAACAGAAGCAAAAACTTGCTAAAAGTAGCAAAAGTTTAGCTAAAATTTGAAATAGAACGTGGTACGTTAGAAGCTAAAAGTTGCAAAAGGCCGGCTAAAAGCTAATAGTAACAGATGCTTATTGAAAGTAACCAAAAGGTAGCTAAAAGCTAACAGTAGCACAAAGACAGCTGACTATTAAAAATAATGATGATGATGATGATATTGATGACGATGATGATATTGATGATAACGATGATGATGATGATGATGATGATGATGAAATTGATGATGACGACCATGAACTCTAAAAACAACAGGACTATTTGAGACGCTGTGAGAAGAAAACCTGAAGGTTCTAAACAGATCCTGGTTCAGGAGGTCGATTGTTTGAGGAGACATCCCTCCCTGTTCAGCTGCAGTCAGCTCCCAGTATCACCAGAACCAGGTCTGTTCTGAACCTGGTCTGTTCTGAACCTGGTCTGTTCTGAACCTGGTCTGTTCTGAACCTGGTCTGTTCTGAACCTGGTCTGTTCTGAACCTGGTCTGATAATGACTCTGAACCAGTTAAAGCTCATTAGACCTGAGTGAAGGGAGTTGTCTCTCAGCTGGCTGTGAAGCTGTGGATCAGCTGAGCGTCCTCCACCCTGCAAACCTCAGAGCTGTTTGAAGACTTTTGTGTCCTCAGGTTCTGTCTGTCCTGAATGTTCCTGTCAAACTTTAAAAACTGATAACTGGATGTATCAGGTGCTAGCAGTTCCTGAGGGATCTGTCCTTGTGTTTTTACCACCCAGGAACTGTGTGGTTCTGCAGCAGGCCCACAGGGTCTGCAGTGGGCCCTGTGGTTCTGTCTCTGTTTGGACACTAAAGCTACAGCCTCGGCAGGATTACATCATGGGTTCTGCAGCGGTGTGCCTTTGGCTCGGTCCAGTTTTCAGCTGATCTGGAGTGAAGCTGACAGTCAGATCCTTGGTTTGTTGTCTTCGGCTCGTGTTCAGGTTTTTAAGAGCTGAGTGTTGGAGGTGAGGTGAGGTCGTTAGTGTTGGAGGTGAGGTGAGGTCATTAGTGTTGGTGGTGAGGTGAGGTCATTAGTGTTGATGGTGAGGTGAGGTCATTAGTGTTGATGGTGAGGTGAGTTCGTTAGTGTTGATGGTGAGGTGAGGTTATTAGTGTTGATTGTGAGGTGAGGTCATTAGTGTTGGTGGTGAGGTGAGGTCATTAGTGTTGGTGGTGAGGTGAGGTCATTAGTGTTGATGGTGAGGTGAGGTTATTAGTGTTGGAGGTGAGGTGAGGTCATTAGTGTTGGTGGTGAGGTGAGGTTATTAGTGTTGGAGGTGAGGCGAGGTCGTTAGTGTTGATGGTGAGGTGAGGTTATTAGTGTTGATGGTGAGGTGAGGTTATTAGTGTTGATGGTGAGGTGAGGTCATTAGTGTTGATGGTGAGGTGAGGTAGTTAGTGTTGGTGGTGAGGTGAGGTCGTTAGTGTTGATGGTGAGGTGAGGTTATTAGTGTTGATGGTGAGGTGAGGTTATTAGTGTTGATGGTGAGGTGAGGTCGTTAGTGTTGATGGTGAGGTGAGGTCGTTAGTGTTGATGGTGAGATGAGGTCGTTAGTGTTGATGGTGAGGTGAGTTCGTTAGTGTTGATGGTGATTTGAGTTCGTTAGTGTTGGTGGTGAGGTGAGGTTGTTAGTGTTGATGGTGAGGTGAGGTCGTTAGTGTTGATGGTGAGGTGAGTTCGTTAGTGTTGGTGGTGAGGTGAGGTCGTTAGTGTTGATGGTGAGGTGAGGTCGTTAGTGTTGATGGTGAGGTCGTTAGTGTTGATGGTGAGGTGAGGTTATTAGTGTTG